GAGCCGGTCTCAGGGGTTCGATGAGCCGGTCTCAGGGGTTCGATGAGCCGGTCTCAGGGGTTCGATGAGCCGGTCTCAGGGCTTCGATGAGCCGGTCTCAGGGGTTCTGCAGAGCCTCTGCCACGGAGGTAAAGACACATTTGTGTAAAGTCGTGATGACACGCCCCACTTGGCCATCACTTGCTGCAGAGACATTGCTTGGCCAATCAGTGCTGGCCCCAAAAAAGGTATTTTGTGGATTCAAAATGACGAAAAACAAATTAACTTTAAAATAATAAAAAAAGTTATTAAAAAATATTGAATTCTTCAAAGAATCCTAATTTATTTTTTATTAGTAAAATAGTAAAAATATATTTTTTGGGGGGCTGAAATTTTTTAAGGGGCCAAATATTTTTTTGAGTCCAGAATAAAGTCATAGTGTAATTTGTTGAGTTCATGCACTGTGTTTTGTTCTTTGAGCAAGGTGATGTTCATGCACGGCTCATTTTATACACCAGTAAAAAAACATATAACTGTCTTGAATTTGGGGGAAAAAAATCATATTTTATTTATCACTAAAAGGGTTCAGTGAATGTGCGTATGAAACTGGTGGGTTCGGTACCTCAAAAAAGGTTCGAAGCACAGCTTTATAACAAGCTGCAGCTGCAGGATGGCTGCCTGATGTGAGCGAGCTGTCTGAAGATTCATCATCAGGATTAGCTTCAGTTTTACTCCACTTATCAGTCATTAGTTATAACAGATGTTATAACTTCTCTTTTTAAAGTTTTCATAAAATTTCTTATAGTTTTGACATATTTTATATATGTCAAGAGAGGGATTGAAGAAATTTGTAACTGATTAATTGAATATTAGATTCAGTTTTGTATTTTATACTTTCTGATCATTTCAGTCTGTAAGGTTGAAGCTGACAAAGAGTTGGTGTGTGTGTGTGTGTGTGTGTGTGTGTGTGTCTGTGTGTGTGTCTGTGTGTTATCATGTGTTTTTTCTCTTAGCCTAAACAAAACTGAGTGACGTTCTGAAGTCTGATGTAAAAGGTAACAGCTCTGAGGTGTAACCAGGAAGAGATGAACATTATAAGCTCAATTCATTATTATAGTAGAAAGAAGTTGTCAGTGTTTTGCAGAGTGTCTGCTCAGAGCAGAGCTCCCGTGTTTGTTTTGGTTTGGCCCAAGGTTGTAGCTGAGGCCTGTGCTGCTGAGAGCTGAATGAAGCTGATTGGAGTCAGAGGACTGAAAATAAAGTTTTTAACAAGAAACCCAGCTGAATCCTGTTTATTCGGACATACCATATTAAAACACGTATTTCTTACAAAAGGACAACTTGTCTTTGTAGAACTGGTAACGCTTTCTTTTACCGTTCCCTTATTACCATCTAATTACAAGGTAATTAGGGTAAAATTTTACTATGTAATTAATTGTAGCACTTACCTGGTAATGTATTACAATTCACTATGTAACACCTAAATAAGTAGCAGGTAATTTGGACAGTTTTAAAGTTATATTTTATTGCGATTAACCACTAACCCCAAAATATAGTTGCATTCTTTTGTTTATAAATATAGTGTTTAGTTACTATTGAATAGTAATTTGATTGTAGTTACCCAATAAAGGTAGTTTTACTAACAGTAGTTTTTTCTTTTTTACCATAATTACCACGTAATTACAAGGTAATAAGGTAGTAATTACGTTTTTATTACCCTGACCTTGTAATTACATGGTAATAAGGTAGTAATTACATTTTATTGTCATTATCAGTGTGTGAATGTGAGTGTGAATGGGTGAATGTCTGTTAGTGTAAAGAGCTTTGGGGTCCGGAGGGACTTGAAAAGGCGCTCTATAAGTTCAGTACCATTTACCATTTATTACCCTGACCTTGTAATTACATGGTAATAAGGTAGTAATTACATTTTTATTACCCTGACCTTGTAATTACATGGTAATAAGGTAGTAATTACATTTTTATTACCCTGACCTTGTAATTACACGGTAATAAGGTAGTAATTACATTTTTATTACCCTGGCCTTGTAATTACACGGTAATAAGTTAGTAATTACATTTTTATTTCTGTATAACTCTGTAGTAGTAGATTAAAGTGACTTGATCACAGTATAGTGGAATTAAAAGTGTATTAAAGCCATAAAATGTAGTTATATGTCACTGATTCACTGCTCCTTTCGTATCAAGAATTATATAAAAACACTGAGTTCAGTTTTAATCCTGCAGTTAAACAAATCAAAGCCAACTATAAACCTGACAGAAAAGCAGAATACTGAAGGAAGAGGTTTAAACGGTTCTGTGTAAACTTGTTTAACTTGGAGTTATGTGGAAGTGAAAGGACACCATCCACCTGGACATAAACCTGAACAAACTGTAAACGTGTTTTTAACCCGAACAACTCATCCTGCCCATCAACCTGCCAGGGGTCAAAGGTCATTTCCAAACTGTTTGGAGACCAAAACAAGAACATTCACAAGAGAAAATACCTCCGAACCTTTCACCACTTGTCCTGGGTTTATGGCACCTAATATAAAAAATACATATTTTGATGCAACAGTTGTAATAAAGAATGCACTCGTCTCTAAATGTGACGGCCTCATGTACAAACACTGGAACACGTCCTGCTACAACAGCTTACACTTAAACTGGTTTGTACGCACAGAGAGTCCAGCTGAAACTGTGAGTCTGCATGAATTCAGACACCTTTCCCTTGTACAGCCTGATTAACGTGTTCATTTAAACACGTTAATCAGGATACAAACGTGCCACGCCCTGTGACCGACCCACAGTCACAGCCAGGGAAAAGGAAGAAGGTGTTTTATAAAACGAGGCACGTTTTGTTTGGCACGCTGCTCTTTGGCATCAGTGCTGGGCTGAAGACGAGGGAGTGGGTGGGCCATGGCCTTTCTAACATCACGCCTGTGTTCACGGACACATCCCTCAGCTCACACCTGGGCTCTGT